AAGTAGGTTTTCCTAGTTGTCAGGCAGTATTTTTTACATGATGAATTAAGGCTTTTCTTACCCCTTGGCTTTACCATTTTTCTACAGATTTATCATGAAATGTCTCTAGCAGTCAGGAAGGCAGAGGGAATTCCCAGAGGAAAATACAGAGGGCTGTAGAGAAAATGAATTATATTGAATCAGGATCATCAAAATATAAAGGCATAAGCCAGACACTGGTGGCTCAATCCTGTAATACTAGCTACTCAGGAGGCTGAGATCTGTGGATCATGGTTTGAAGTCAGCCTGGCCAGGAAAGTCCATGAGCCTCTTATCTCCAAAATAAACTATTCAGAAAAAGCTGGAAGTATCTCAAGTGGTAGAGCACTATCCTTGAGCAAAAAGAAGCTCAGGGACAATGCTCAGGCCCAGAGTTCAAGCCCTAATACTATGCACATCTCTTAATGAAATAGTCTTCTTTATTAAGGTATTAAATGACAAAATCTAATAGCTGGTGTAAGAGAATTTTTAAGTAGTGTCGAATATAAAAGAAATTTGGGTGTATTTTCAACGACTAGAAATAGAATTGGGCAGTATTTAAGATTTTTTGTGGCTTACATGTCACAGGTTCTGATAATAATGTTGTTTATTTACTGGTAAGAGTAGATACAACATTTTGCCTATGTAAGTTACCAGACCCTCTGAATACCAACAGTTGACTTTCCTTGCTTCATGACCAGGATGCTACACACCCTTGCTTTAGGATACATTCGTGGAAATAGAATTACTGGGCAATAAGGCATGCTTTATTTATCTGTCCTAAATAGTGCCACATTTACAATCTTCAAACCCGTATATGAGGATTCTCTAGCTATCTCATAGAATTTGATGTGAAAGTGCATTTTTATGCTTCATATAAAAATTGGTATCAGTTGCAATGTGATAGATTAAGAAGTGGTAAAAAGAAATAATCTACCTGTTTAATTTTGTCTAAAGGTCAGGCTCATGCAATTGTGTAGATGGAAGCCGTAGAGGTGGGTCCAATGCTGACCTTGATGAGATTAGAGGACAGATGTGAACCTGGGGACTTTCTTTCATTAGAGCTACTTTTAAATGTCACTAGATGGCGCCATAGCTTAACTTTCCTTTCCTTGAAGGTGTATCCACCTATTTTTGCTGGTTTTATGTTGAAATTTAAGCTTATGAATATGAAGAGAATTAATTTACAGAAATTTTATGATACCTGATTTTGTATCAGAGGAAATATTTCAGGAAAGGTGAGTTACTCTGATAATATTTTGTGAGTTGCTTTACTTTTGTTATTTATTTGTCTGTTTGTTTATATTGTGCCAGTTCTGAGGCTTGAATGCAGGGCTTGGTCACTGTCCCTGAGTTTCTTTTTGCTCAAGGCTAGCACTCTACCACTTGCACCACAATGCTACTTCCTCTCTTTTCTGAGTAGTTTTTAAAATTAGAGATGCGAGTCTTAGGGACTTTCCTGCCTGGGGCTGGCTTCGAATTTCAATCCTCAGCTCTCAGCTTCCTGAGTAGCTAGGATTACAGGAGTAGCCACCAGCACCCCATAAATTTTGCTATTTATAATAGGCAACTTTCAATAAAAGTAAAAACCAAGTTTCATTCAGTATTCCTTATGGTGTCCTCCTGATCTCACTAAGTACTTGTTAAACATGTTTTGTGCTGAACATGGCTGAACATGCTGTGCAGATGGAAAAAGACCAAATCTGTGAACTTTGCAACCTGTGGTCATATTTCTGCAGCTAATGTCTTTGCTAACATCTTTGTTAATAAGACTCAATGACAAGAAAGTTTATGAACATTCTAATGTTATGGTATAAATTAATTTGAAGTGGTTTCTACATATAGGAGCAACTTTTAGTATTAAAACCCATGAACATTCACTATACACATATATGAAACATTTTTTTAAGATATCCTGTTGTTTTTCCTAAGGCTTTTGTATAGGATAGTACATTTTAATAACAATGACATGTAAAAACCTGTCAGCAATAAATGCAATGCCTAATCTAGGCATTGCAAATTTCTTCCTTTGAATAATCTCTATGCCTGATGGTAGAGTTGGGAATTTTTTTTTTAATTAGGAAAGCATTTTTAGAACTTTTGTAATTTGTTTCAATTTTCTTCATTAAGTATGGTGGTTTCTATCTCTCCCAGCCGTAACTGGACACACTGTCTATCTTCACCTGCTCACACCTGGCATGGCATTTTTTATGAACTTCTGATCGAGCATTCATTATCCAATGCTGTCCAACGTATCTATTTGTCTTCATCTCTACAAGATGTCACACAAACTACTATTCGTGTGTGTGTGTGTGTGTGTGTGTGTGTGTGTGTGTGTGTAGGCACTTGAACTCAGGGCCTCATGCTGGTGCTCTTCTACTTGAGTGATATATCCTCTTCCGCCCCTTCTGACTCTTTGGTAATAAATTGGAGGTAAGAGTCTCACAGACTTTTCCACCCAGTCTGGCTTTGAACTTTAATCCTCAGATCTCAGCCTCCAGAACACCTAGGATTGCAGGCATTAGCCATGGGTACACAGCAGAAATAACTCAAAGTCAATTGATATCTCTTGGAAAACAAGGTTGACATACTTCTTTTCCAAAAAATTTTATTTTATTTTTAATTGGTGGTTCTAAGGTTTGAGCTCAGGGCCTTGCGCTTGCTAGCTAGGGACTCTACCACTTAATCCTTGCCCCTAGTCCTTATATGCCTAACTTAAAAATGGTTTCTTCTGCTTCCCACATTTCCTCTTTGACCTTTTTTTTTTTTTTTTCTTTTTTGGTGCTAGTCCTGGGACTTGAAATCAGGGCTTGGGAACTATCTCTAAGCTTCTTTTACATAAGGCTAGCACTCTACTACTTGAGCCACAGCTCCACTTCTGGAATTGAGGGGGGGGGTAATAGTTTATTAGAGATAAGAGCCTCATGGACTTTCCTGGTTGGGCTGGCTTTGAAGTGCAATCCTCCGATTTCTCCTGAGTAGCTATGATTACAGGTGTGAGCTACTGGTGCCCATCTCCTTTGCTTTTTACCCAAGAGCCATGGTTCGTAGATTCTCTTGAATCTAACAGAAGCAGACCTATAGTGACCTCATGCTGAATTTTATTAGTGAAGCTTTCACTAATAAAATTTCACTTTCATTGGCTCTCATACTGAGTCAGTATGGTTACTCTGGGCCTGGTCTTCTACCTCTTCATAAATCTTGGTCAGGACCATAGATGGGCATGTCTAAGAAAAGAGCCATTGGCTCTTTTTCAAATTAGTTTGAGAAAGAGAAAGGCAGGGAAGTTGTACAGGTATAAGACCTTAAATGACTTTGGGTAGACAGCTGATGTCACATCGATATCTGTTTACATTGATTGCAATGAATAACACGGCCATCTAACTGTGCGTGTGAAAACCTCTTAAAGGAAGATTGCAATAGCAGACTCTGATAGTTCACTCTCTGCCCAAATCTCACTATGTCTCTGGTAGGTTTTTACCTCCAGTGTCAGGGTATTTTTTAAAAAATCTTACTAGGAAACTTACCTGTCCTTTGAATCTTTGAGTTATTTAGTGCTTTCTGTTTTTCAGTTTTCCCTCAGAAATAGCTAATTCATAATTTGTTATGTTTCATTTTCAATGCATATGAAACATGTTAACTGAATAGGAACTGTAAATGAATGAATGGAAATGTAAATGAATAGGAACCCTAGAGCCTGGTGGGGACTTTGGCTGTAGGAGATTTGACAGTGTGCTTAGAGTATGGATAACGCCAGTGGAAAACTCTGGTTGTATAGTTGCTTAGGCTAAGTGTGAGACCTTCTGTAGTAATCCTGTCAAAAGACAGGAATGGGTGCCTGAGGTTTTTATCAATGACATGGGCCTAGTTACTTATTTACAGCAAGTAGCCCTCACCTCCTAACATTTGCAACCCCGCCCCCCTCCAATAGTACCACTAGCTAGGAAACCTTCTTTAGGGATGGTTAAGATGTAAACAATAACATCTAAATGAAACAATATTTACAACAAAGATGGTAATTTACCACAATCTCATTACCTTAATCCATTGATCTGGAAAAGATGATAAAAATACAAAACAGTAAGAAGAATCAAAATATACAGGCAGGCATTTATGAGTGCAAATATTTCCATATCCATAAAGATTTTGTCAAAACAAAGATATTTTAAACATCTTCATTAAATAAGATTCAAAATGAAGTAAAGGACAATTAAGGATAAATGCAGACATTTCAGCCTATATACCAGAGATTTAAAAGATTTTTAATATTATGACCTAATAACATTATTTTCCAATTGATACATATTTTTTCTTTCTTTTTTTGGTCAGTTGTGGGGCTTGAACTTAGGGCCTGGGTGCTTGCCCTGAGCCTGTTTGTATACAAGGCTAGTGCTCTACCACTTGAGCTATAGCACCACTTCTGTTTTTTGAGTAATCAACTGGAGATAAGAGTCTCATGGGAACATTTCTGCCCAAGATGGCTTTGTACCATGATCTTCAGATCTCAGCCTCCTGAGTGTTAAGATTACAAGTGGGAGTCACCAGTGCCTGGCAGGACAGGTATTTTTTAAGTTTATTTTTTATTGTGAAAATACTGTACAGGGGGTTACAATTACATGGGCAAGATAATGAGCACATTTCTTATCAAGCGTTGTAGCCTCCTCCTTTGTTTCCCCTTCCCATCCCTTCCCAGCCTCCCCCCAGCCCCCCCACCCAATCCTCCCCACTCCCCCCCACCACCAAAGTTGTAAAGTTTGTTTTCGACATGACAACTTAGGACAGGTATTTTTTAATGTGTAACAAGTACTGAAATTCCTTGGGAAAATGAACTCTTACTTCCCAATGATAGGGATTTAAAAAATGCAAAAGACATAGGAAGTTAGCTTACCATCTCCTTCAAATAAAAGTTCTCTTGAGAAAATTCAAGCACCATTGGCAGATACATCTAATATCGGCTAGTAAAGTCATATTTTAGTAAGAAGCTATTTCAATGGTGAAAATGATGTAGGAATCAGAAGTATATTCTGCTGAGTCTCCAGGTATTGGACACTTTCCCGTACTGGAAAAAAACATATTTAAGTGGAATATAAGTTATTGATTAAATCAAACTTGGGTTTTTGAAAATAATTCATCATCAATGAAATAAGTTACCAGCAGCCACAACTCGGGGGTCCTCATGGGAACGATGTCTGCCTGCAGCACGAGTATCTGCATTCTCACTCCACCAAAGAACGTGAACTGCACAAATGCATCAAAAGTTGTTTCTATTGATATTTGGAGCATGCACTAAGTTTGAGTCTTTGTATAATGCAGTTGTCTAATGCATAATTTTTTTTACCTTATGGCTTCTTGATTTGCCATGAGTGTGTGTGTGTGTGTGTGTGTGTATGTACGCGCGTGTGCGTGTGCCAGTTCTGGGGCTTGAACTCAGGGCCTGCCCCCCTGTTCTTGAGTTTTTATGCTCAAGGCTAGCTTTCTACTACTTGAGCTCAGCTCCATTTCTGGCTTTTTTTGGTAGCTAATTGGAGATAAGAGTCTCATACATTTTTCTGCCCAAGCTGGCTTTGAACTGTGATCCTCAGATTTCAGCCTCCTGAATAGCAAGGATTACCTTGTTAGTACCTCACCAGCAAACTACCTGCACCCAGCTTGATTTGCTTTTACCTTAGAAATATAGTCTTTACCCACAATATTAAAATTTACATACTGCTTTAGCATTGCTATGAATTATATTTTCCATCCCAAACCACAATCTATCTTGATTTCATTTTAGTATCTGGTATGAGATAATTTCATAATTTTTCTCCATCTATTCTTCATCTTAAGCAGACATCTATTTTTGTATGTATAGATTGAACATCCCTAATTTTTAAAAATCCAAAACCTGAAATACTCCTGGTGTCATTCTTTTTTTTTTTTTTTGTCGGTTGTGGGGCTTGAACTCTGGGCTTGGGCACTGTCCCTGTACTCATCAGCTCAAGGCAAGCTCTCTACCACCTGAGCCATAGTGCCACTTCCGGCTTTCTAGAGGTTTATTGGAGATAAGAGTCTCACAGACTTTCCTGCCCGGGCTGGCTTTGAACCTCAATCCTCAGATCTCAGTCTCCTGAATAGCTAGGATTACAGGCAAGAGCCACTGGCGCACCTGGCTTGGTGTCATTTATTTTAGATGAGCCTTGTTATCACTAGGAGCATTTCTGGGTAAAGATCAGAAGCTCATCACTGATTATTGCCAAGTGTTAGATATCCAGTGGATATAAAAAAAGAAACAGTAAGAAGGTAAATAGACATTTTGAGCTTTTCAAATACTAAGAAGATATTCTTAGTTGTTGTTTATCCCTTAAGGTAGATATTCTCTGAATATATGGATATTTACTGAATTTGCAATACCAAAATGAGTAAATTTTTATGGGTGGGGGTGTTAATATTTATTAAAAATAGTATACATTATATTTGCCCAGAAACAATCTCCCTACCTCAAGTAATGATTTTTTTTACAAAAGCAATAAAAGTACATTTAAAGGACTACATGATTGTAAGAGAAATAGATTATTTCTCAAGATTCTTTCACTTTTTAAACTTAATTATTTTGATGTATCAGGGAAAACAGTAGTTTAGCACTGAACAAAGCTTCGGTAAGTGTTAATACTTGTTTTGATAACACAAGGGTTTAGCTCAAGGCGCCACACTTTGAGATAAAGCCTCTACCATTTGAGCCACACCACTAGCCCCTTTTTGCTTTATTGTTCAGGTAGTTGTCTGGCCTTATTTTGCTTATCCAGGTACACACCACCACACCCAGCTTGTGGTTGATTTAGGGTCTTACTCACTTCTTGCATGGCTGGTCTGGAACCACAATCCTCAAAAATCTATGCTTTCTGAATAGTTGGAATTACAAGCATGAGCTACCACATCTGGCTTGTTCTTTTTTCCTTTTTAAATAGAAAATTTCGGTACCTGGCCAGTTGTCAACATTCCAAATAGGATGTAAAAATGTAGTTTCAACCTTCATTACAAAACACTAATATTTTGACAATAAAAAATAAGCACTCTAATGAGGAAGTCACAGTGATCCAAGGAACTTATCAGTAGATCATTGTATACATCTAAGTCTCCTGGAAGAGATAGACAACCATACCTCTGTTGAGTGCTCCATATTCTGCATTGAAAACACCAATGAGTGTTGCATAACCCTGGTTGATGTGAACATGAATCGCCCTTTGAAATGAATGACCCCACAGAGCTGGGCCTCCGGGTTTCATCTGAAAGGTTATCAGTTCATACACACCTGGAATAGGGAGAAAAAGCATTATTTCACAGAGGACATCCTATAATTTAGAATCATTATGTGTTGTTCCAGTGGAAGCCTCATCTACATATGCAGATTTGGAGAGTTATACAGACTGCTTTACACATATTATATTTCCATGATTTTTCTTTGCTTTTATGTTAAGACCCTGCCCATATTTAAGAGTAAGTTTTGTAAACTTAATTACACAGAAAAGAAAAAAAATAGACACTGTATAAAGATTATTTGAACTTTACTTATTTATTTCGCAATGACTACTTGCAGTAATGACATTTTGGACTCAGCCCTATGCTTTTTAGGCACTTATGCCATGTTCCCATTCCTTTTTGCTCTCTCTCTTACTCTCTCTCCCTCCCCCCCTCTTTGTTTCTTTCTTTGAATAGGGTCTTGTGTTTTGCCGATATAAGTTTGGACAGTGATTCTTTCTGTGTATACTTTCACACAGCCAGGACAGGTGTGTGCCACCACGCACAGACTTTTATTTTTTTCCATTAGTTGAGATAGAATCTCACTAACCTTTTGCCTGGACTGGTTTAGATCTTCCATCCTACCAATCTCAGCCTCCATAACAGCAAAGTATCCAGGAGTGGATACCTTGTGTGCCTGGCTCTGAAATATCTTAACGTTAAAATATTTATCAATGGAACAGATATTGAAAATTTATAAACAAATCAGATTTTTGAATTTTCCAAGTCTGTACTTTTGGAAAAGAAATAAATGAGCCAGTCACTGTGGTTCACACCTGTAATTCTAGCAGTTCAGGAGGTTGAGGTCTGAGGATCATGGTTTGAAACCGTCTCTGGCAGAAAAGTCTGTGAGATTTTTATCTACAATTAATGACCAAAAAGCCAGAAGTTGAAACTGTGGCTCAACTGTGGTACAGTGCTGATCTTGGGAGAAAAAGCTAAAGGACAATGCATAGGCCCTGAGTTTAAGCCCCAGTACTCACACACACACACACACACACACACACACGCACTCACACACACACACAAAGATGAAGTGAAATAAATAAATTAAGCAAATAAATTAAACCAATCAAAACAAATAAATTTAAAATGTATATTAATTAAATATTAAATTATTTTAATTAAATTATTACATATTGTAAATAATTATTTGCAAACTGAGAAATTAGTGAAAAATTATGGCAATACAGCTTGTCAGTTTCAGGTAATTCATTCCCCTAAATAATCAATTTGTTGTGATGTGTGGAAGATGCTTTTATATCCAAACACACATTGTTTTAAATCTTTGATAGTATTCATATATTACTCATTATTTCTCAAGATCATGGTTCCTGCTCCTAGGGAGAAATTTCTCAACCCTATCGACAAGTGTATGATTTTTCCCATAATGTGGCTAAGTTTTACCCAGTTTCAAAATCTATATTTAGAAAACAATTCTTTACTTCAATTTTCACTTTTGTTTAAAAAAAGAATAAGCATAGAGCTTTAATTTTATATCAATAAGATGTTTTTATTGAAAACAAATGATTATTTCTTTCCACTGGAACTTTGGTTTTTATCGCTTGAGGTTCAGCATTTTTATTCACCAACATTCAAAGTAGTTAGGAGGAAGTCTTACCTTGTTTTGGAGGTTTTCCTAGTTTGCACCAAGGGACCAGATAAGTAATCTCACTCTCTTGTTTATCAATGAGAGGCAAACTTGGAAGGAGGAATTGTTCATGCCATTCTTTATCCTGAGCCAAGGCTTTCCTAACTGCAGTTCGATGAGCAAAGTTATCTATGGGAGAAAAGCATTAAGAAAAGCAAAAAGAAAAACAATTCAACTTCAAAGCAACTGTATTTCTCTGGATTTTATCCAGTCCAGCAGAATTTATCCACAGCATTTAGGAATATTGTGGCGAGACCAAAAGGCTGCAGGGTACTGATGCTCTCATGGGGAACAGAAATGCAAGGGACTGTGGTCACACGAGAGACTGGGCTCCAAAGGCTCTACCACTTCCTGAGTGGCAGTGTGAGTCAGTTTGGGTGTCTTTCTGTGGTCACCTTCTCTGTGTGTAAAACTGGAAAGGATAATGCAGCACCCATGACTGGGGGTGATGTGAGGATCCAATGAATTCATATATGAGAAAGACTTAGCACAAGGCTCAGCACACAGTACTCGTGTGTGTGTGTGTGTGTGTGTGTGTGTGCATCACTTATTCAATTGAGGCATTTAGCTGACAAGGACAGTTTAGGCAAATATTATATGATTTCTTAGTAATGGTAGGTGGCCAAGACAAGGCATACTTAGAATAACTTTTAACAAACTGAATTAAAATGGCTTAAAACCAACAACAACAACAGATCCATTTCAAAGAATGGATGGCTTATGGTCATTCTCAACAACTTTCATATCTTTCTTTTGTAAGTTACCCAAACTTTTACCAATGTATAGGCCTAGTGTCATATTTACTACTAGATCTCATGAGGTGAATGGTAAAATTCATATATGTTATGTTGGGGATAATGAATTACACCTGTCTTACATACGAAGTGAGGATGAGGACTTTGTTTTCCCAGTGAGCCATGATTTAAGTTCTATCATATCCAAAGTGTAAGTTATGTTTTAATGTGGCTTGTTCTATTACATCAGGGAAGACCCTTAAAATAATCTTGCATTAGACATAGAATGAAAATTTTTGATAATGGAGTATTCTAGGAACATTAATTTGGACACCCGTGACCAAACCCTCAATGAAATTAAGAGTTCTTTGGGCATTCTGATGTGGACTGTTAAGACCAGGCACAATGTTAGCAAACATGGATGGGATTTTTATAACTGATTCTCTTTCTTCAGGGTTAGGTAAATTCAAATGGGGAGAAGTCTCCTCCTCCTTCATCTTCATAGTATGACAGCCATACTCAAGTATGTGCTCAAGTACAAATGGTCTCTCAACATAAGAGAATTATTGAACTTCAAAAGAGAGAGACTCAAAAGTTGACAGTCATCTCCTCTCAACCTCCATTTATTTTTTTCCCTCAGTGAATTATTTTTGCTGCAATATTGATACTAAGCCCTAGTTTATTAATAAGAAAAGATACTTTTGTTCTGTGTTGTTACCACACTTGGGGGTTTTGCAAGCACTGCTTTAAATTCTGCCTGCGCTAACTCTTTGTCTAGTACACCATTTGTGTTTTACATCTGGATTACAATTTTATTATTTGATATATGAAGATGAATATTTTCCTAGTTATGATAAGATTTTGGGAAAGGGTTGTTAAAAGTGGATCACTGAGAACAGTAATCACTGAATTTACATTTGTTTTTGGTACTATATTTCTTTTTAATAGTTTTATTTAAATTAGGTGTATCTATTGTAATATAGATCCAATAGTGTGTCATGTGACATCTAACAGAATGAATATTTGTGTTTTTTTTTTTTTGGGTCTGGTCGTGGGGCCTGAACTCTGGGCCTGGGCGCTGTCCCTCAGCTCTTCAGCTCAAGGCTAGCGCTCTACCACTTGAGCCACAGTGCCACTTCCGGCTTTTTTAATTTTTTCTTATGTGATGCTGAGGAATCGAACCCAGGGCCTCAGGCATGCAAGGCACGCGCTCTACCACTGAGCCATCTTCCCAGCCCCCAGAATGAATATTTGTACTGGACACCTAAATTAGATAAGACATACCATATTTCCAAATATGAAATACTGTGTTCAGTCTGCCTCCAAATTCTACACTCCAATATCCAATCAATTCAGAGTGAGCTGTCCGAAGATGAACATTTTTCTTAGAATTCTCTAGGAACTCCTTCATTTTTGAGGGTTTAAGATAGTAGGTACGAAATTCATAGAATGTTCCATCATCTTGCCTAGGGCCTGTAGCAAAGGATGCACACACCTGGATAGAGATAAGGTGAACTTAAATATTTTGGGGAAAGGTAGGATATGTGATGTTCTGTTACAACCACATCTGAGTCTAGAAACAAGGGATATACAGTACACTGAAAAAATGTATTGTGTGCTTCTATCAAATCTCCTTAGACTTGTTCATGCAGAGATGTTAATAAAGATAACTAATATAAAATATGCTGAACACATAGCTACTGTGCATGATCAGGAATTAACCTTTTTGCCACTTTTTCATGAGAAGATGTGTATGTAAAGGTCTATGTGTCTTAATGTTACTCCTGTACAGGCAAAATACAATTTGGATTAATTTAAGTTTACAGTTTTCCCTTACTTAGTCAAGATCTCACCTGAATTCAGGATTATATGTGCCAGGATTTTGCACCTAAAACACTTTACAAAATCTTTTGGAGGCACAATGAAAATGTTTATTAGGAGAAACCTTTATATTACTACTATTATTATTATTACTATTCCTTCTTACAAAAGTGAATTGTTGTATTTTCTACACTCAATAGAGCAGCCAGTGATGAAAAATAGGACTGAAATTTAAGCAATGCATTAGTAAAGTGCTATCAAGCAGCATCATAATAATGGAGGAGTAGAATATGTGAATTCTAGGAGAGGAAAATTGAGGGAACCAGGTGCCTGAATTATATTCATTTTTCATGACAGATGCAAAGTGAGGAAATGTATTTGATGCATCTAGCTGTACCAGTTTTATAGAACTATTTAAGAACCATTACTTTTTCAATAATCACAGGATCGTTGTGTAACCTCTTAATTCTTCATCTAAGTGAACCTAACTTTCACTAGGAAACACCCTGTGGGAAATTGTCCTCTGTACATGTGTATCTGTATGTACATACATAGAAGGGCACACACAGACACTCTTATGGCATTGGAATTCACAGATACATCTTATGTTATATGTGGTGAAACGTGCTCATTTTCTAAAGCTAATAAAATCAGAAAAATCCATGGATTTAGAATCTGCAACTAAGGACCAGTTATTGCTTAAATTGGCTGTTTGTCTAGACTGTTTGTCTAGAGGAAGCATTAGACTTTTGTACTGACCTATTATTTTTTGTTTATAAACACATTATGTATTTTTTATGTATGTAAGATTTAATCATCTTGAGTTCATTGTTCACATCTGTTCATCTTTATTATATTCTTATTGCTCAAATAACATAAAAAACAATCTCAGTGGTCTCTGCACTTTGCGGACACTATTTTGTGCTTTCAAAGCAAACTACTTGTAGAATGTTAGCAGAATAAAAAGTGGGCTGGTATTACAATTTTAATAAGGCTGCATCTGAAGCCAGGTGCTGGTGGCTCATGCTTGTAATCCTGGCTACTCAGGAGGCTGAGATCTGAGGATCATGGTTCAAAGCCAGCCCGGGCAGGAAAGTCCATGAGACTATCTCCAATTAACCACCCAGAAGTGGTGTTGTGGCTCAAGTGGTAGAGCGCTTGCCTTGAACTGAAGAAGAGCTCAAGGACAGCACCCAAGGCCCAGAACCCCATGACTGACCAAAAGAAAAAGAGCTACATCTGGAAGATGAAATAATTGGTCATAGACACAGACCCTTATTATCTGGTGGGGGCCAATATACAGTGAGCACCTGCGGTGCGGGAGGTGGTATGTGAATAAGAAGGAATGGTGATCTTCCAGAGTTTGTTGCAGGACTGAACAGATTGGCCTGGGGCAGGACATCATCAGTGTTTGCCTCACCCTTATGTCCAACTTAGGGTTCATTCTAATGATGACCAAAACCTCGATTTTTAAGAGAATGTTGGTAGAAACTTGAAAACTCTTAAGTTCAGAGAAAACTTGTAAGGAAACATATTGGCTATTATGTATGTGCTTACAAACAAATTAACTGAGGTGTAATGAACTCTACGGTGAGCTCAAACAGTATTAATTCTTTAGAAAAGCTAAGTCAAAGCCCAACAAAATATGTACCAGGAAATGGGTACTTGCAAGAGGGGAGCGAGGCCAAGAATGAATGAAAGGGGAAAGAGGGAAGAATGCAGCCCACAATTTATTGTATACCACAAAATTATGATAAATGAGGGAAGGGGTGGGGTGAAGGGTGTGTGTGAAAATGTTGGATGACACAGATCAAGATGCATTGTGTACATAAACTGCTTTGTTCAATGGCAAAAAATATGCAATACTTAACCTAAAAAATTAACATATCCTAAAAAATTAAGGAATGAAGGAAGGGTGGGCTGGGAGTGGTGGGTGAGAATATGGAAAGGGGTGACATTGATCAAGACCTGCTATATTCATCAACTGCTTTTTGTTGAATGGCAACTCCTTTGTACAACTACTTAAAGATTAAAAAAAATTCAAAAAAATCGTTACAAGGCCTGGTACCATTACCAGTGCCGGTCAGAAGCCTAAAGACTGCAGTGAAAATCAGATGAGTGGCCAGTTTAGGAAAGTGTCCACCAGAAAGTCAATTTCTAGAATAGGGGAACCCTTTCCGTGTTGTCACTTGGGAAAGGAGCAAAAGCCTCAACTTGGGAAGGGAAAGCAATTGGTGGCTAACTTCACAGAATAAGCTAGTGCCCAAAACTGATGTCTGGATCACTTGGTCCATTTTGGTCCTTAGCTGTGCCCTCTGGTTCACATACATCCAGGACCCCGGACCCGAGAATCTGGTTCTCCATGTGGAATGTCAGGTCCAGATGCTCTGCCAGATGTGGCCTCCTGTACTCTTCCCCCACCCTGTGCGCTCCTCGGGTCCCCACCTGTGATGCGAGCAGGCGCGTGGTCAGCGCACTGGTCAGGCGGCCACCGCGGGCGAACATGGTGAGCTTAACGGCTTTGAAAGCAACCAGACCGAGTCCTGGCTGACTCTCTTTCTCCGGGCAGCTGGAAAGGCTAGCTTGGGGAGGATGACCCGGACGTAGGCTCGGAGGGTCAGCCCACCCCACCTGCCAAGCCCACTTTGTGATGTCAGCCCAGGTCTGCTCGTCCCCTTTGCCTTGTCTACGCCAGCGTTCTTGCCCCAAAGGTCAGAAGTGACGTTAGAATTGGCTGAGGGCTGAGATCGTCCATCTCCTATCTCTCTGGGCTGTGTGTCACCGGCCCCGAAGGGTAGTGTTTAGCATTAAAATGCTCCATGTAGAATGGTCCATGCTTTGAGATTGGACCTCGTGTGACTCCAAGTTGATCAGGGATTCTTGGCTGAATGTATTCTGGGCATTGTCCAGCTCATGTGTGTGCAATAGAACTTTCTCTTCATGGACACCCACATGCTACAGTTTTCAGGGGGTTTTATTATGTCATTTCACGTGTCACTATGATGCAGTTCATGTTACTTATCTTAATCACCTTCTTTTCCTTCTCCCCGTTCTCAAACCTCCCAAACTGTGTTGTATTTGCTTTCATGTGTGTGTGTGTGTGTGTGTGTGTGTATATCCCTGTATTTTATCATCAGTATTTCTTCTTTTGAGAACTATCTATTGAACTTGCTTGCTAACTTATTATTTGGATCATTGATTCTTTAGTAGGTGTTTAGTTTTGTGAGCTCTTTATATATTTTAGCTATTCATCCTTTGCCAGATGGATAGTTGGCAAAGATTTCTTTCCCATTCTGTAGGCTGTCTTTTCATTTTAGTAAATATTTCCTTTGCTGTACAGAATCTGTTACATTTGAAGCCGTCCTTACTCTTATTTTTCTGAGCTACTGGGGTTGTATTCAGGAAGTGGCTCTATCTTTTTAATGTTTTTCCTATGTTTCCCTGTGGTAGTTTCAAAGTACCTTCTCCAACCAGTTAGTTGTACTTGCTTCAGTAACTGCTACTGAGTTTTATAAATTATTCTTCTGCTCTTTCTCAGTTTTTTAGTTTTACAGATTATTTTTCTGACTTTCTCCACAGACAAAACCATATTTTAAGTGAGTAGTAATGATGTTTTCTTTCTCTCTGTCCAATCTTTATACTTCTCACTGCCATCTTCTATTCCTTTCCTCTCTTTTCTTTCTTCCTTCCTGATTTTCTTTGTTCCCTTATTTCCTTGGTCTTTTCTCATCCTCTTTTTGCTCCACCCTCTTCAGCACTCTTTGCCTTCGTTTTGCTGGGTAGGACATCTGTGCAGTCAATATGGGGTATCATGACATTCCCGACCAACTTCCACATTGCCTTTCATGAGTCATTTTACCATTATAACTTGCTTATTCATAAACATGCTTATACACTTTATGTAGATTCAAAAAGTGACTTGCCTTGTTGAAAACTATTACTCATTAGAATATTGATTTAAAACCAAACTTCGTAAGTTTTAGATTTTAAATTTAAATGTGACCATCAAATCATACTATAAAATATGGACTCTAAGATAAATGTAACTAAAAACGAAGGCATTTTCTACAGAGAGAAATCTAATCTGGGCATTGTAATTTTCCTCAATCTGTAAAGCTAAAAAGCAAATCCTGTATTTCACAATCTGATATCTTAGAGAAGAGAGATAAGCCAATATATACATATATTTGCATTGCTACAACTATTTAATTACATTTTATATTACATTATACTATATAGTTATATTATAGATTACATTACATTATGTTATTATATATTATATATTTACATATGAATATACATATATACCCATGTAGTTATATGCATTAAAACAATGCAGTTTTATACATGGTATATATTTCTGAATAATTGTATTTAGAATTTCTAATGATTTCAACTTTATAATAAGACAACTGGCTTCAAAATGTGTCACAACTTCCTGGATTGGTCCAAAACTAAAATAAATACAGCGCATGTTCTTTTCAGCCTTATGACTTTTGTATAATTATTTTTTATTTGATTATCTTCTGGTACCACTTATTTTCCATGAATTTTAATTAACAATTTAAAGACGTTAAACACAAAGATGCCCGAGTTTGCATGTGTGCATTTCTAGGAGGCATGATTTCTTTCTGCACCAAGGTCACTGTAACATAATTCTTTGTATCTAATTGTCTTAATTGATGTGCTTCATTAGCTTGTTCACTTATTATTCACTTACTAAGATGTACTTTTCATTTGTTCAAAATGGTTTAAAATTTAAAGTTTGAATTGGAAACAAAGTTTATACTCAATCGCTCTTTTATAATTCATTGTAGCACTGTTCATTAAGTTGAAATAGTGTTATTAATCATAGAATGCATACTAATACTCTATTCTCTACTCACCCAAATCATTATTATGGTACAGTTGCTGTTGCTTTTAACCAATAGTACCTCACACCATCACTTTATGTCCCCCATCTGGTAATGTGAGATGATAAGGACTACAGGAAGGAAATGGTTCAACTAAGTTATAAATTAATTCAATTAACATAAATTAATTTCTTAAATTGAACTTGATTTTTTATTGAGATTCCACATTTGGAAAGGCTCTAGAGTATGGGAATGACTATGTAACTTCATTGTTTGAAGACCAGCAATGTTAAGACACTTAGGTAATTGTTTTGGGGCTGTATAGGAATGGTGCTATCAAAAACTTCTTGGCTTTCATTTTTTGTTTTTCAATCATGGTGTATGAACTCAGGGCCTCAGGGCTGTCCTTGAGCTTTTTAGCTTAAGGATACTGCTCCACCACTTTGAGCCAGACTTCTACTTCTGGTTTTCTGGTGGCTATTTGGAGATAAGAGTCTCATGAACTTTCCTGGGCCAGGCTGGCTTTGAACTGGCTTTGATCCTTAGACCTCAGCCCCTTGAGTAATTATGATTACAGGTGTGAGCCACTGGGCCTGGCTTCTGACTTAAAGTGTATTGATAAGGTGGAACTAGAGAATAAGTGTGGTAAGAAGGACCAGCTTTCCTTTGCCAAAGCCTACACAGTGTGGCCTGCCTGGGGAGCCTGGAGTCTTGTCAAAAACAGCTGGACTCACAGGAAAGAAGGCTGCAGGACACAAACCATGCAAAGGAAGCCCTTTGTCCTTTGTCATCTTGAAATTTGATTCTGGTAAATCTTCTGATCTATTTCTTCGATTTCTTGTTTTCCTTTTCTTTCTTTCCTTTTCCATTTGAATTCCCCAGGGATAGCACCTGAAACCCGACAGAAGTTCAGTATACAAAATTAAGTTTCACAGGGATCATTAAAATTTATTTTCAGTTTCCGTCTTGCAGGGGTTGTAAATAACCTATTAAAAACTTTCGCAGAACTTTTTTCCTAAATTAAGGTTGAGACTTTCTGATGAAATTTAGTTTCACAGGGAGTATTAAAATTTATTTTTAATCTTTCTCCTGTAAGGGTTGAAAATAATCTACTGAAAAGTTTTCGAAATAGAACTTTTTCCTAAATTAAGATAATTTATATTGATACTATTTAGGATCTAATTCAGAGATACAAAATGATTCAACAGTCTTGTCTGCTGACAGAGGGCGTTTTGGTCTTGGATTTGGATTTTATATTAGGGGAAATGTACATTCTGATATGTTAAAGTTTATATTCCTAGTAAAACATAGAGCTAAACACTTGTAGCCATTTATTCCAGACTTTTAGCCTATCCTTCTAAACTATGCCAACTGAATAAATACAGTAAATCCAATAGCAGCATACTATAAAACAATAGAAGAATAGAATGGGAAGACGGCTGGCAGAGTGGCTCGAGTGGTAGAACCTCAGCCGAGCAAGTTTGAGGCCCTGAGTTCAAATCTCAAAAACATTATTAAAAAAAATAAAAAGCAAAAGAATGGAACTGGAAGAAATAATTTCTTCCTAGAGGAGCTCCCAAGATGTTGAAAGGTTACATTTGTGAAAAGAAGAGTTAAATTTTGCACTGACAAATAATGTAAGAAAAAAAACTCTTGAGAATTTTCACAACCTCCTATACATATTTTAGGAACCAACTTCTCATTTCCTTCAAAATCCATCTTTCTCTAAACTCCTTGCATTAGGAGGGCAGAATATTTTGCAAGGAAATGCCTATCATGATCAGGGAGGGGTCAAATGAGCGGGGAAAGGGCCCAAGCAGTGGGAAACCTATGGATAAGGACATGGCAGAAGAGAAGCTGCAGGGTAACTGTGAGCTGAAATGTGGCACGATTTTTGCAAATTGCTGTGGAGTTTTTTAGAAACCCAAAGAAGATCCTAAAAGCACTTTGATTGCTGGTTTCTAATTACAGTTCTTTGTTAAGAATAAACCATTTGGGTCTTAGTTTTATGTGAGTTGTGATGATAATTTTCATACTTCGTAATGAGAGGCAGGCAAGGGTTCATGCTTTTTCCTTTCTTTGGCATTTTATTGAAAGTGCATAAATCCCAAGCACACAGCTTGATGTATCTTCCAACGGAAGGCATCATTCAAGGTCCTTGTAGATTGGATGCTGATGTTTTTTAAACCAGTGCTGATGAGGAACCAACCCATGTTCTTTTAAAAATGAATAGACACCATCAACTTGGTGTCAGAGAATAGTCCAGAGAGGAAAATGGACTTCAGACTGGCCATGTGAAGATGCATGGCTAATAAGGCCCAGATCTGTGCTCTTCGTCTTACTTTCAAGTCTAAACATAGACAAACACAGTGAATGTTTCAATGTATTATGTGTTATGAGGACTTATATCTGTTTTTTTGTGGCAAAATATATTGATGACAGTTTGAACACAGAGGCATATAAGCTTCCCCAGAAAAGAAAGGTAAGTTCAGAATAGGGATTTGGAGAAAAATGAAAAGCAGAATGTAGGAAAATGTAAATTAGCCTCACAAATGATTAGAAATGAGACTGAAGTACCTCCCTACATAACAAGTAGATGTTAGATTACTATAAATTCATTATTAAAGATGAACTCCTCAATGTTGGGGATCT